GTTTTAAAAATTATAATTCATACTATTCGTGCTAGAAAATTGACTTTAATTTTAATAAAGATTATATATTTTATCTAGCATTCCTTAAATGAGTAAACTTATTATAGTTTCTAAGAATAATAACACCTGTGTCGAACAATCACCATCAAGAACATAGATTAACGTTTATGTATATATTAAAGCCTTACTGATAAGCTTATTTTACTATTTGACTTTAATCTTAATTGATTTTTCTGATAATTCACGTATATCACATACACAATTTATAGATACGTCATAAATCATGAATATAATAAATGACTATTTAATAATAGTTGATCACTTCACCCGATAAAAACTTTGTTTTATTACGAAATATCATTTTTTTATATTTACATTATCAGTATTCCTGATGGCACATTGTTCTGTTTTATGTTACAGAAATAACTTCAATGTCACAGCTCAGCAATCAAAATATTATCACAAGTTAAAAAACCATCAACCGTGGAATAATTCCGTCAAAATGTTATCATCCAGAAAACAACATAATAATTATTTTAATAAATTAATTATCCTGTTATTTATAAGTATTTTAAGTACCAATGTTATATCAGCACCTTCAAGTGAACTCAAAAATTCGCCAACATTACCACCACCAGCAGGACCACCATCCTCAAAAAGAATTAGCATTTTAGAGGACCCCCAACATCCAAGTGCATTAGCCTGGAGCGTATTGTTACTAGCAGATAGCTCTGTGTTGGATTCACCAAGTCCACCACGGCGTATAACTCCAAAGAGCATATTCATAGCACCACCATTGCAAACTTGTCCTGAAGGTTATCAACCAGACAGTATGAATCGTTGCGTAAAGGATGTCAATATTAATCAAGAAGCGTATTTTGATTTTCTTCTTCAGCGGTTAAATGCAATGTACGGTAATCTAGGAAATCCTCAGCATTCTAATCCACCTTCCTCTTCTTCTTCTTCTTCTTCATCTCCTTCGTCAAATGGTTCTTTAGGACCTTTTCAATTAAACATACCTATTGTCATAAATTCTGACAAAGAGTCACCAAACCCAGATAGTGTTTCTGAAAAACCTTCTGTATCTGTATCAGATGATAAACGTCCAGAAAATGAAACAAAAAAACAGGAAACAATAATAACAGTTTATGAAATTGAAGAATCCAACAACAACAACAATAACAAAAATGATGATGATGATAATAATAATAATAAAAATAATGAAACAAAACCTAACGATGATAAATCATTAGAAAATGAACAATTAATTCCTGTTGTAGAAATTATCGAAACGAATCCAAATGGCTCTGAGATAGTAGATTATACAATTCCTATTAAATTGTACAATGTAACGAACAATACAGACACTAAAAATAACACAGTTACTTCAAATAAAGAAAACTCATTAAATGAATCATCAGTATCAACTCTAGTAGTTCTTTTATCTCCAACGAAATTACAACCAAATATAATGGAAGATTCAAATAAAATAAAAAACCAAAGTATTGACAAAGACATCGTTAATGTAAGAAATAGTTCCACGAATGAAGAAATAGATATAAGCCTTCCTGAATCTACAGTAACGACTACTTTAAGTCCTATTAAAATTTTTCTCAACTCATCATCATCATCAACACCGCTGTCGTCATCCTCAGTATCAATAAACACTAATACGGATTACGAAGATGCGGCTCAAGTAACTGAAAAAAATGGTGATGTTATTTACGATGATAATTACAATAATAAAGAGACCATAGATTATAACACAGATGAAGACCTTGAAGATCACACGGAAGACTTTGAAGAATCTACGGAAAGTGATTATGAAATTCTGAAGCACAGTGAAGCTGGTATGACTGTAACGACTTCTTCACGGTTTCATACAACATCTTCATCGATTGCACCTGATGTTCAGAACGATAAAGATAAGGATGATAGTGATAAAATATCAAGTGAAGTTCATATTAATCGTGATTTTATTCGTGAGACTACTTTAGTAGGTCTTAACTATGATAAAAATAATGGTTCAACTGAAATTGATAAAGAAATCCAATCGACAACGCCATTGGACGATGAAGACACCGAAGACAATACGGAAATAACAGAGAGCACGGAAAAAGTTACAGAATTCCAAACACAAATGCCAGTTTCAATTGTTGACAAACTTTTTGATCCGTTTGAAAACATTAATCCGGTGATAACGATTGAGGAAGCTTCGCTAACCGGGTTTATTGACAGAAAGACAACCACGACAGGAACGAAAGTATTTAAGTCAACAACAACGAGATCAACAACACCGTTTATTGTTTATCCAAGTCAAACTGAAACTCCAATTTCTCAAACAGTTAAACCGCTTCCTCAAGTAGATGTCGCAGAAATAATGGCTGTATCGTCATCTAATGAGGCTGAAACTGTTTTGCCTGAACAAGAGTTACAAAATCCAATTATTGTAAAACCTTTAGATAATAAAACAAGCCAAGAAGCATCCTCCTCACATAATCCTATCACGGATCCAAAAAAAGAAGAAACGTTTTCTCAAAATAAACAAGTTTTTGATTATAATCCGGCTCCGCATATTTCCAGTTTTAGTAGCCATAAATTAAAAGATAATCCCGTGATAAAAACAATTGACAACCAGAAAATCGATTTAAATAAAAATCCAGTCAATTTTTTTCCCAATAATAATTATCAGCCTCCCTATAATCCTCCAAGAGATTATGTACGATTTCCGTTGCATGACCAGCAGCCAAGTCGTCCGAATTATGTAAGATTCCCGTCAGAAGAAGCCAACAGCATTCATACGGATGATTCAAAAGAACGTTATCATAACCGCTATCCACCTCTGCAAAATAATCGACTTGCAACAGCTAAACTTGGAACCTTCAAACGCCCGGTGTGGCCGATACCGCCAACATGGCGCCTAGATCGACAGCATTCACGCGTGAAATCAACCGATGACGAAGATCAAAAACAAAATGAAAATACCCCGATGTTGATGAGATTTTGGAAACGAATGCCATTGATTTTAGATCCTAGTTTAATAAATAATTCACCTAATCTCTCGTTTTCACAGATCCCAACTCAATTTGAGCCCAATGAACGTACCGGAAGATCACATTCTTCACGTCGAGTGAATTACTATCAAGAAATGTCACCGCAAGATGTAACACAATCTTTTATACGCATTCAACGTTAAATAAAATCGATGCTGCAAGGAAGAGTTCTTGACTAGATTCTCTCCTTTTTTAAAGTTTTTTTTTTTCATAACGTTCTTGATGATGAAGAAGACTATCATCATGAATGAGCAATGAGGATGGAATCCCCCCGACTCTCTCCGTTATCAATACTGATAATTATCGATTTATCGATTACGAGAAGTGAGCATGGGTCTACGTGGGCTTATAAGTACCCATTATGCTGGTTCAAATACATATATTAATTATAATTATTATAATTATACAACGTTTGTCCAGCACGCACATATTTCAAGACTGATAGCACTATTACAGAGAAAAAAAATGATTAATAAAAATAAGAGTCCTGAATAAAGCGAGTTGGATAGACGGTGCTTTTTAAATTTATTTATTTACTTGAATATTTATATTCGAAATAACTATTTTTTTTTGTTTCCTTTTTGTCTTGAAATTGCTCTTAACAGCATCAATAAATCATAGTAATTAATTGTAATAGCACTTAAATTGAATGTGATTTAAAATACTTGTGCTGAAAAATAAAAAAAAAAGTATATACATGCAAACTTACAAAGTAACTTGATGTTTGAATAATTAATCATAATCATAAATATATATATATATATATATATCTAAGAATAAACGTTTAAATTTGAATAATTTGAAAAGTATATAAAAAATATGTGTGAATGACTTTGACTTTATGGCCAGTAACTGTTACTGTCTTAATTATTTGTTTATTATTATTTTTATAAATCGATCGCACCGTCTTGAAAACATTATATTAAAGCCCACTCTTTCCTGTATTTGTATCTCAGTATGTCGCCATACATATCTAATTAATAATGACTTATTATATATTATATTTAATATATATATATATATAAATATATGAATGTCAACTTGTGTAAATAATTTATTCATCCGTTGTCGTAATAAATAAATAATAAATTGTATATATCACGTATTATTAATATTAAATATTTTAAATAATTAATAAAATAATTAGTAATAAAGTATGAAATTATTAGAGTGTTAAGTAGAATTGTATTAAATCGTAATTTTGTATTATTTTAGTATTTATATTACAAATTAAAAAAATGGAATTAATAAATTATGTATGCATCAATGTATATCCGGGAAATTTGATTTAAGTGGATACTCAATTTTTTTTTTCATCCAATGAAATAATATTAAAAGTTGTTAATTAAATATTATTTTATTTATTTATTTTATCAATTATTATCCTATATATTTACTTGTTTTCATTTTACAAAATAGCTTTTAATTTTACGTTTTATTTTTATTTAAAGTAAGAGACCCAGCGCGAGATGTCTAATCATACTCAGTTTTCTTATACTGCGTATTTAGAAAGTTGTTTGGTATAAAATTATTGGCCAAAGTAATTGATAACAAAATAAATATTTCAGAAATAAATCCTTAGTTATATTAAATTACTCAATAATATGCGTGTTTATTAAAAAAAAAAATAAAAAGTACATTATTTTCTCAAGTATTTAGTAATTAATTTTTTTGATTAATTATTTATAAAAAAAAAAAATAAACTTCAAGTATTTAAACAAATACATTTTTCAAGATATTCTTTTTTTTTTATTAATTTTAACAAAGTATAAATTTTTTAGTCATTTTATTTTGTATGAGAAAATATAATTATTTTATTAACAAACAATTTTTATTACCATTTCAAGATATTTTTAATATAAATTGTTAAATTTATTATAATTTTTATTCACCAAATAGAAATTGAGTTTTGGGTCTGTTTTTCTCATATTTTATAAATATATTACGTTAACTTATTTTGAGACCTTTAAATCCCCTAGCTAGAATATATTTTTCAGTCGATTCATCTCTAGTAGCATCTGGTTTAACAATTCTTACGGACTTATAAAATCTTGCCACATCTTTCTCGAATTGCGGGGATTTACTACCGTCCCAAAGTTTAACGATAAATGTGCCATCAACTTTAGACATTTCAACAGCAAATTTCATAGCAGCATAAGCCAACCCAATGATTTGGTCATGATCAATATCCCGTATTCCAGTTGCATTAGGTGCCATATCTGACAGCACAACATCAACTGGCTGTTTTACCAGTTGACGTAGTTTAGTTTGGGCTTCTTTAGTGGTAAAATCTAAGTTGCCAATTAAAGTAGCACCTTCGATATGATGTATTGGCAATCTATCGATAGCATAAACATGACCCAGAGGTGTATCTTGTAATTTACCCGCGGCATTTGTCAAGTTAGCAGCTACTTGTGTCCAGCTACCAGGCGCAGCACCACAATCGACAACACACAAACCAGGTGATAATATTTTAAAACGATCGTTTATTTCTAATAATTTAAATGCACTACGACAACGGTAATTTTCTTGTCTTGCTTTTTCGACATATGGATCTTGAATATACTTGATTAACCATTTTTTAGAATCAGCTTTCTTACCTTTTAAATTATTTGGTACGGCTTTACACAAGACTTTACAACTTGAAAAACTTCTTGCGGTCAAAAAACTTTTAAATTCCATTTTAAATTACCTGCCGATAAAAATAAAAAATTAATTTTGAATTTATTAAAGAATAATAATACAAAATAAATAAAAAGGACATTAGTGACACAATAAATTTTTTTTAACTGTTTCTAATTGATGACTTTAAAATTATTTTTTTTGTTGTGTAAAATAACTGGAAGAATATTTTTTGTCACTAATGTCTTTTTAATTTTAATTTTATAAACTCTTACTTCTTGTTTCCTTTGTTAAATTCACTTGCACATGAAATATCTAAATTTAAAAATTTAGTACGTAATTTGACATTCCAAACTGGTATCTGCAATATAAATTAATCAATGAGTAAAAAAAAAGTTAATATCGATATTAAAATATGAATTGATAAATGGTACTAAAGTTAGCCGACGTTTTTAATTATTTGATTTTTTTTTAATAATTAAATTAAAACGAAAAAATATTTTTAAAAAATTTCACTTATAGTTTTTGAAGTTTTTTACAAGTGACATTTTTTTTTTTTAATTTTTTTATAATAATTTTTTCAATAAAAAAAAATTCTAAAAATTTTCAAATACCGGCTAACTTAATTTTCATATTGATAATTAGATAATTACATATTGTGTACTATTTATTGCTTACTTTGTTTATTGTCGAAAGGTGTTTTTTCTAACAATTATAGGTTAGATCCGAATTTCACGCTATTCTCTCATGTACGGATTATTATAACATAAATCTACAAATTATTATATTTACAATTATGTATTGTAGTTATTTAAATAATACAGATGAACTGACAGCGATTAATTTTTATTATTGAATCACTACTTATTATTGTGTTGTATGTAAATTTAAAAAACAACTTTTCTCATAAATACTCAGCTAAAGTACACTATTGACATCTTTTGAAGCTGTCTAACACCAGACACTGTTCCCATTTCTGAATGGCAGTATGGTTAAAATTCAAATGTGGCGCCATCTAAGCGTTTAATTTTAAACTAATTATTTTATTACCGATTGAATAAGTTGACAACAACAAATATATAATTAAATATTAAAAATTCATAATTGTGTATGAATTGATAATTGTAATTTCAAGAATAAATTTATTTTGTCTTTGATATCTACCTTTGTCTTTAGCGTATAAATATTTATCACAATTTTAGTGATTTTTTTTCTCGATTGAATTGAGCGTTTAAATGGGTGAGAAAAAAGATAAAAATAATTTTTTACCTCCCACGTATTAGCTTTCTTGTGATATGTATACATGTTGAGGTATATATACCTATATATGTAGAGTGAATCTTTACAGTAATGTAACACACCCGGAACAAAAAAAAGTAAAAAAATATTAAGTTGTGGGATCGGTTTACAAACAGTTAGCTGTTCCATTTATCAGCTGATTAAGGAAAGAACATTTTCTAATACAAAACTAAAGTTAATATCTCGATATAAAATTGTTGAAAAATACTCAAATATAATTAAATAATCTTTAGATATAATTATTTTATTCCCAACGTGACTTATTGTGACGTTATTTTTTTTTTGTGTCAAGTCAGTATATATGCATAATACATCCACGACATGCGTGAAAATGGTGACAATTATAATAAGGAGAATATTAAAATTACCATGTGTTTTATCACCGGTTTAGGCGATTGACTTCAAATTACTTAATTTAATCAAGTTACAATATCAATAACAAGTATATATTAACTCTTAAATGATTTATTTACTTAAATGAAAGTGTAAAATGAACTTGAGTACAGGAAATACTTATAGCAATGGTTTGGTATATGCCGGTTTTAATCAAGATCAAGGTATTTATACTTTTTTTATATTTTATTTGTTTTTCATTATTAATAAAAAGTAAAATTCTTCAATTAATAATTATGTTGTTATTCACTTTGTAGGATGTTTCGCTTGTGGAATGGAAAATGGATACCGTGTTTACAATTGTGATCCACTGAAAGAAAAAGAACGTCATGATTTTGAAGGAGATGGAGGTCTTGGATACGTCGAAATGCTTTTCAGATGTAATTATTTAGCACTAATTGGTGGTGGTGATAAGCCTGTTTATCCAACTAATAGAGGTAAATTACATATTTGTAATGTTTAAACAATATTCAGATAATCAATATGAAATACTTAGAAATTTAACATAAATTTTGACAGTTGTCATATGGGACGACATCAAAAAACTACCAGCAATTACTTTAGAATTCAATGCACCTGTAAAAGGGGTTAAATTACGACGGGATAGAATTGTAGCTATTCTAGAGGGTGTAATAAAAGTATTTACATTCACACAAAATCCACAGCAGCTACATGTTTTTGAGACAAATCCAAATCCACGAGGACTCTGTGTACTATGTCCGAATAGTGATAATTCATTACTGGCTTTTCCGGGTCGCAAAAACGGTCACATACAAAGTAAATTAGATTTTATTAATTATTTTTTGCTATCCATGTGTAGTAGGGTGGCGCAAAAAACCGACTATTTTTTTTTGGAGTCGAGTGAAAAAATGTCAATTTTTGATGTTTTAAGAGCCCTCTCCAAAGAACAGCTCAAAAAAAAAAATTTTTAGAGGTCGCTCCAAATTTTTTTAAATTTCAAAAATCGAAATTTTTTTTCTCGTTGCGTCATAATTTTATAGACCAAAAAAAAAAATAAGTTCCTGAAAGTTTCAATTCAAAATTTAAATTTTGAATGGTTGCTCATAAATATAAATATTTTTAAATTTCAGAGCCAAAAAATGCTAATCCAATTAAATAGTAGCCAATAAATTAAAAAAAAAAATTGTGAGCAACCTTTTAAAATTCACATTTTGAACTGAAACTTTCAGGAAAAATAAGTTCCTGAAAGTTTCAATTCAAAATTTAAATTTTGAATGGTTGCTCATAAATATAAATATTTTTAAATTTCAGAGCCAAAAAATGCTAATCCAATTAAATAGTAGCCAATAAATTAAAAAAAAAAATTGTGAGCAACCTTTTAAAATTCACATTTTGAACTGAAACTTTCAGGAAAATCTTTTTTTTTTTTGTCTATAAAATTATGACGGAACGAGAAAAAAAATTAAAAAAAAAAAAAATTCGATTTTTGAAATTTAAAAAAATTTGGAGCGACCTCTTAAAAATTTTTTTTTAAGCTGTCCTTTGGAGAGAGCTCTTAAAACATAAAAAACTAACATTTTTTCACTCGAGACTCAAAAATAAAAAATAGTCGGTTTTTTTGCGCCACCCTAATTGCATAATGTGTAGTATGAATATTACACTGATAAAAAAAAAAAAATAACTTAATTTAAGAGAAAAAATCTTAGACGAAGACAATTATTTTAAAGAGTTTTGAATCTAACAGAAAAATTCTTAAACTAAGAAGTTGTTTTTAGTTCAAGTACATTTTACTTGATTCAAAAATTCTTCTACTTGATTTAAGATAATGAAACTCTTGAAAATAATTTTTTTAGTCTAAGACTGTTTCTATTCAAGTAAGTTAATTTTTTTATCAGTACAGTTCCATTATAAAAATTAATTACATACTTTCCTATTTGTTACAGTTATAGACTTGGCGAATACAGAAAAACAACCTTTAAATATTGAAGCACATGAAACACCATTATCATGTATCGCTTTAAATTTACAAGGTACTCGATTAGCAACAGCATCAGAGAAGGGTACATTGATACGAGTGTTTGACACACAAACTGGTACAATGATTAATGAGTTACGACGAGGTGCTAATCATGCTAATATTTATTGGTAATTATTAATGGGAATTTTTTATAAAACTACTTGTAGTGATTTGTTTTTATCATTTAAAAATATGAAAATACATTATTAAAATAGCATTTTTAAATGCATGAAAAATATTTATAATTTTTAATTATTTGTAAATAAATATTTGATATTTTCAGTATAAACTTTAACCATGACTCGACGTGGTTATGTGTTGCAAGTGATCATGGTACAGTCCACGTATTTGCAGTTGAAGATCAAAAATTAAACCGTCAGTCTAGCTTGGCATCAGCAACATTTTTACCAAAATATTTTAGTTCTAGTTGGAGCTTTTGTAAATTTCAAGTACCAGGTGGCCCACAATGTTTGTGCGCATTTGGTACTAATAATAGTATTATAGGTAATACGTAAATATATTTATGCTAATGATACACTAGTTTATTTTTATAACAACTTAAATGTTACAAATTATTTAAAATATTTTATTTTCTTTGTTGCAGTTATATGCGCCGACGGTAGTTATTATAAATTTGTATTTAATAATAAAGGCGAGTGTACACGTGACTTTTATGCGCAGTTTCTTGAAATGACCGATGACAAGATGTGATCAAGTGATGATTTAAATTATTAAATTAAAAAATATAAATTATAATATTTAATGTTGAATAACAAAATCAATTTATTTTAAAGACAATCGAATCTTTGTTGAGTTGTAAAGGTGATCGAAGTAAGGTGATATTTGATTCCAACTTGAGTATTTAATAATTAATTAATTAATTATTAAATAATGTAAAGTGATGAATCTCTGTTAAATTTTATTTATATTTTGCCTTCTATAATAATAATAATAAGTATTTAATTGAGTGTTTTTGTTAATCGTAAAGTGCAATTTTTTTGCTACCAAAATCATGTTGACAATTATTTCAACTACACGAAAATGACAATTGTTGCAAAATAATATCTATTAAAACCATGGCCGTACTTCTTGTCACAAATATAATTTGTATTAATAGTTATTACAAATATACTTTAAATATTTCTTAAATATTTACATGTGCATTTGGGACTGTTTTTTTAATAAATATTTAAACTGAAAATTATTGATAAATAAATTTTAAAATTCACTATAAAAAAACTTTGGTTGTTAATTATTCAATATAAATTATTATTGCCGGATCACGTGCCTTGAACACCATCTCCGCTTATCCTCCAGGGAATCCTGCAAAATATGTAACTCCAGTGTTGAAACAGTTGAACATATATTGGCATACTGTCCTGCCCTAGACGATCTGAGAAACAAATACCTTCACAATATCGCCGTAACCTATCCAATAAACACACGCACGCTGCACACCCTGAATATCCACTCCAAAAAAGAAATGGAAAACCTGGCTCGATTCATCGCTGCAGTTTCTACCAGAAGATCCAACACCTGCTTCTAATCCTCCCTTTCTCCCCCACATACAGCTCTTTTCTCTGTCACATTAAACTTTTCCCAAAAATAAATAAATTGGTGCAAATAAATAAATAAATAAATAAATAAATATGTAACTGTGCCTCTCAAATCGCAAATTGTAAATGAGATACATTGTTATTATCTTAAAAACAATAAATATACTGATACTGATATAAATTATTATATATAAGTATTTAATAATAACTCATACTTCAACGTCAATACAAGATGAATGTCTTAAATTATTTGGGATTATTAATCAAATTAATTCAATCAATTTTGTTTAGAAAATTCCTTTAAATATAATTCATGTAGATTACATTTACGCAACAGCGCAGCACGACAAAAAGATAGCACCAACAATCTTCGGGCTTCTAATTAGAAGAAAAAATTATTCGTTCTTTAATCTTAAAAACATTTTTCACTTAATCTCAAATTTATAACTTATCTATTTATTTATCGGTTGGTTCCAAGAAAGAAGTAAATCTGCAACTTGTCGCAAACTTCAAATGCTGGTGATCCTCTTCGGCTATACACTTCTTTAGTGTTTCTATTCGATTCTCTGATGTGAATACAATAAATTATTTACTTACAAAAGTTTTCCATTTTTTTCGTTAATATCGGAAAATATTTTTAAGTTTAAGATTTTCATTATAAAAAAAGTAATAAAAATACTTTTTAATATTATATATTGTAAGCTTTATTAATAAATAGATCGCACATTCATAATACACTTACTGAATAACAATAATAAGTCGAAGAAGTAGAAGAAGAAGGACGAGAAGCTAATCTACTTATTGCAGGCTTTTTAAAAATTTCACATTTAAAATACATAGGTATAATATGCTTAACTTTAAAATTTAATTACAAAATTTCTTTAAAAATGAATCTAAACAAAGATAATTAGATTTAAAACTTCGTTACTCCTCAATACCTTATGTTTTAATTTATTTATTATTTATTTCGTTTACGTGAAAAAATCTTAAGCCTAAAATTATTTTATGGAGAACACATTTTTGTACTCAATGGATAAATAAATCCGATTGACTGTATTTTTAATATTAAAATTATTTTTTTTTATCGTGTAAAAAGATAACAGAAGCCAAATAGCCATAACATAATTACATATCAACAAAATAAAGGTAACAGTCAATTAATAACAATTAATTGAATGCATTAGGTGCCTCTACATTATATATTAGCGTATCAAAGTTTCTCATTCTACTTTCCGTTTTATTTATTTACTTTGCATATGCTGCTCCAGACAATGATTATTCATTCATATAATATACTTATATTCGTTATTATTTAATGTTTGTTTTGACTTAGTTAGGTAACAAAAAATACACACAAGTAGCCGTAAGAATTATAAAATTTTTTGACATAAAACTGTTCATTTTTGTAGATCTTGAATTTTTTAAAATCAATATATTTATTATTATTATTATTATTATTATTATTATTATTACATTAAGTTAATATTGTCTTAAACTTCATAGGGAATTTGAGTACCAGAATGTAAGCGTACTTTTCCATTACTTGTACCTTCACCAGGTGTTAATGCATATTTACTTTTCTTAACATTATGAATTTCATGTGTAATTCCTCCTTTTTTGATTTCTAAACTCTTGTATGTACTGTATACGACAAACCATATATATAAACATATTGCTATTAAAAATAGAACGACGATTCCTGAAAAGAAAAAATGTTTGTTAGTCTTAGATAAATCTTAACATTTTATGTTTATTGAAATATCAAGTTATTTTTTTTTTACTTTATGAAATTACACCAAACTTCAAAGAACTTTTCATCTTTGTGACAGTAATAAAAAAAAAAAAAAAAAAATCCATTTTTTATGCTCTAACTTCATCAAGAGTTGCAATACTAACATTTTGATTTATGTATTATTTAAAGTTTGTTATTCAAGTAAATGAAATAGTGCTCTGAAGCACAAAGAATCAACAAAATTTATACACTTACTTTTAAAGTAAATGATTAATTTATTCAATTTTAACGGAGAAACTAAGCTATTAAAATTATAATTTGATCGATTTGTAGATATTTGTTATACCCACAGTCTTTTATTTAAGAAATTTGACGTAGCTTATTTTTTTTCTAACTATGATAAATAATTTAAATAAATATAACAGATTTTGTTATTTTGAATGTATTGGTTGGTTTATCTATTACCGTGTGAATACAAAAAAAATATCACTAAAATAAATTCTTTATGTATTCATAAATTGAATGCACTTAACGGCCAATTTTTCAAATTTATAATGAATATTTTATTTAAACGTAAACAAACAAAACTCGCCGCAGTCAACTTAAACATGGGTAATTTTCAAATTTGCATTTAAATTATTTTATTAAAATGAAAGTAAAATTTTTAAGAAATTAAATTAAAGTATATCAAGCATAATTTTTTTGTTACAAAAAAATTGTTCAATTCAAAATCCTAAATTGATTTTTCGCATTTAATAATTATTGCTTATCTAAGTCCATTTTTTATGATAACAGACAAAAAACTTCAGTCCCTTATTGAAATATTTTTTTACTTACGTTCAGTCATATCAGCTTTACCACCGAGTATTGCAATAAAAGGACAGTCTTGTTGTACAAGGAATAATGATAAGAATAGAGCAACGATTGTTGTCATCATTACCATCATCCAAGGTGCCATAAAATGACGATTGTTCTGTTAAAAAAAAAAAAAAAAAAAAAACAAATCATTACAATCTTTGGAGTAAGTAACAAAAAAATAACTTTTTTGTATTCACTTTTACCTTTTAGTTCTAACTTCATTAATTATTAAAACTTATCTATGTATTTCAATCACTATCATTACAATACTTACGATTAAAATTCCATAGAGGAGCAATATTGTTGATATAAAATGTATCACTGAGATGACTAATCCACAATACATTGAATAAACTTTTTCTGTAATAAATAATTAAATTTTATAAATTTATGTTAATAAGTCAGTATTTTATTGAATATATCATGATAAATATGCAAAATTAATTAATTTTTTACTAATATTTTTAAAACATTTGTAATTAAAAAATCACTAGTCAATAATTTAAGGATTAAAAATATGTTATTTATAATTTCGAATATTTGTCATAATAAATGTCAAACGAAGAGTTGAAATAATAAAAAAAACCTGTTGCATTATGATGGGCAATGTCCATTCTTTTGGTATTTTGATGCATTGATGAAATAGCTTCCATAGCTTCACGTTCAAGTGCTTCTTCAGAGTCTCTGGCAACCATTTCTTGTATGTCCATTGCGTGTGCCAAAGCCAACAGGAAGAAAGTCATAATAATTCCTGATATGAACTGTTAACAATAAATAACGATATTATTGAGCAGAAAAAAATATTTTGTAATAAAATTATGAGTATAAAAGACAACTTACCAGTTGTAAGATGGCAATTAATAAAGTACCTTGTTTCAAATTGAAACAATGCAAAAAATTTTTCAACAATCCAACTTTCATTTTGATTATTTTTTTTTTCACTTAATTTAAATTTATTAAATTTAATTTTTCTTTCTGTAGTGTAAAAAATAATCTGTACAAAATGGCTGGTAAAAAAAAGTAATACTTTGTAATATATTAAAATAAATAGAAAGTTGAATAAATAAATAAATAATAAAATAGTATTAAGCGGTGTAAAATGCAATGACTCAGGAATCAATAACTAGTATAGTGGTCACTCGATTTGAATTATAAACAACTTCGAGAGCTTATAACAGCCAAATAAATAAAATTATTTTTAACTAAACACCTTAGAGATGAACTATAAAATATCTTTTGTTATTGTGCTAAAATGTAGTGCTTTAAAATAAAATCGTGAATATTTTTAGAACTCGCGAAACGTCGATGACCGATAGACTGGATATCCCACAACCCCGTATGCGAATATCTGTTTTCTAGGGGTAGCAAAGTCTGGGGTTTTGGCATGCGCATTTAGATAATGTCCTTTATCGTGCTTGTAAAAAAAATGTTATCATTACTAACTTTTTATTGATGATGATAATAAATCGATTTATTGTACAAAATCGCAAGAAAATTTTATTCTTAACTCAATAACTAGATTTTATGATATTACATTTAGAACACTAATTTTTTTAAACCTAATTGTACTTTGTGAATTTTTTTTTGACATTGTAAAAAATTTTTTTATTCACCAACGCTACTTGACAATTCTAAATATCAAATACAATTGTATGCTGTAATATTCTAGATATTTATAGCTAATTAAAATTGTGAAATTATTCTATTTATTAATAAAAAATATAAATAAACCTCTTTTTTATAAATATAAATTAGATAATATAGTTTTGAAATTGAATATAGAGCGAAAAATAATGAACAGCAGTTCAGAGTCGTTATTTGAGTTGTCATAGAAACCAATCGTATAAATTACAGCAAACTAAACTAATAAGATGGGAAGTAACGCGATAAAGTTTAATTTTACTGTAACGACTTCACAAAAGAATAGTTAAATAAAAGTATTGTGAATACAAGAATTTCGAAAGAAATAAACTTGTAAAAATATTACATTGAACTTTAGTAAATAAAAATAAAAATTACAATGGAACGTAAAGAACAACGAGTTGGACTTGGAGTTGGAGCATTTCATAACCCACCACAAGCTCAGTATAGTGAAGAAACTCGGCAGCTCATAAAAAGTTTGTATTATTTGCAAGCTAACATGATAATTATGATGGTACTATAGAAAAAAAAAATTAATTAATTTTTTTTACAGTTTTGATGGAAGAATCGAAACTGTCAATGATGCAAAGAAAATCTATACAAAATGCAGTAAACCGCGGTGAGTCATTGCCACCTATTTCACGGACATCTTCTGTAGCAGTTAATCACATACATGTAATTATTTGAGTATATACTACATAATATAACAATTGTTAACAATAATTGAAGAGAAAAATTTTTGGTTAGACTATTCAATCTTCATATTGGAAGCGAAGATCGCAGGAAGCGATTGTTAATAGTGGAGCTTATGAACGAGAACAATTCAGACGTACTACACCATTATGTATGTAAACAATAGTAATAATAATAACATATGGGTAATTCCACGTCAAATCGACTAATATTTGAAATCGACGGCTTTCAATTTCGACGAAATTTCATAAAAAGTTTTCTTTCATTATAAAACAACGATTTGCCACAAAAAAAAAAAAATGCATTAAATGTTGGATTCAAATTTTTTAATGTACCTAATACATTTAAATAATCTTAAGAGATCGTGAAATTTTCAGAGAACTGTTTTTTTTTTTTTATATTAATAATTATGAGATTTAGAATTTTGGCAAAAAAAAAAAATAAAAAAGTTTTTGTTTTCCGAAATCTCTTTTGAAATATTTACGAGGAAGTGTGAAAAGAATTTCATGTAAGTAGAACTTATAATATCGAAAGTCAATTTTTTAAAATTCAAAAAATTTTTTTTCCAAAATATTTGTTTTATCAGTATAGTCCAAGTATCCTTTTCAAAACAAACAAAATTTCATTTCAATATTTATAATAGTTTTGGAGATATTTAAATAATAAAGTTGAAAAACTGGAAAAATAAAAAAAATTTGAATTTTGAATAACTTTCGGAAAAATAAAAAAATTTTTATTTCTCATTTCCAAACCTTCGTTTCATAATAAAAAAAAAACTTTTTATCAAATTTCGTCGAAATTGAAAGCCGTCGATTCGACATAAAATTACTCATTTGAAAAAATTATTTACTTCTATAAGTAAAAATAATTTTTTAGTAAACAAGGAAAAACAAAAACGTCATTTGGCATGTATGATGGCTTATGGCAAAGACATGCCAGAAACACCACATGGTCCAGCAATTAGACATAAACCAAGAAAATGTTCACTACCACCGGATAATAATGACGTTTTAGATGACTGTAAGTATAAATAAATTATAACTTTAAGAATATAATATGTCAATCATTGAGAAAAAATTTATATATTAACTTCAGTAACACGAGGTATCAAAGAACGTATTGAATTTCTACATGAGATGGGACATCTTGGTCTTGGTAAAAAGTATCAGCCAATAATTCACCAAGAGATCGCGGAGAAAATACGATTGATTCAATCGTTGGACGACCAGAAGATAACAGAGATCGAAGAAGATATTAAAAGATATAAGTATGAACAACCCACTCCGAAGCCGTTTCCAATGGGAGAACTCGATGATTCGTGACTATGTTAATTATTTCTTTATCGATCTCATGAAAGTAATAATATATTATTCAGAAAAATGTTTTATTTTGGTGTGCAAATTTCTATTATCATTAATAATTATTCACTAGTTCTATAAATTAAATACTTTTAATGAATTATCTTGAAACGAATTCAAAATGTTAAGTATGTTACTTAATTAATTATGAAAAAGATGACTCTTCACTATCAACAATTTTCAAGTTTTCCTCTTCAGGCAGGGGTGGCACAATTTCTGCAAGAATTACAGCTTCAGACAGCTTAATTCCTTTAATGAGTACTTGTTTTTCAACAATCGGGATATTTTCACTAATCAGTTTTTCTACATCTATCTTATTAATTTCTTCTTGAATTCGATTCTTCATAGGTCCTTCGATTGCGTCCATTATTTGATACCTTAAAAAAAAAAAAACTTGTAATTAAATCAAGTAAATAAAAAAATGATAAAAATTGATTAACAAATATATAAATACATTTTTATACTTTACCGTAATAAATTTGGTAATATGTTAACTCCCGCTTCTATAATATAATCCAGTGTACCCGCACCGTGTATTCTCGTCTGAATATTACCAAGCTCAAAATTAAGCTCTCCTAGAGATGCACGTTTTCGGGTGTCTACCGGCTGAATTAATTTCATTTGCATTCGTAAATACTGAACTGTAAACGAGATTGTTCCAGCCCTAGATAGAAAACCATTAATCAGACCCACTTCCCAATGTGTTCTGCCATCAATCGCTTGTGTACCGACGTCTATCACTGCATGAACCTATTATTTAAATAAAAAAATTTATTAGTATTCTTTGGAACGTATTAAAATTAATTTACCGTGCCATTTTCCATAGTTAGAGTGATGTTACCCATCCGATAAAAGCTAGCAAGACCTGTTAGCCAAGTGTGACTTGAAACAACGGTGATTAATCCAGCACTTTGAGAATAATCTTTGAGTTTGTAAGGATCATATCCCAAATCGGAAACTTGCTTGCGTGCCTCCGCTATTGCCATGTCAAAGGGGGAAATTGAGTTTGGAAAGTAATGCGGTAATTTAGATATTTTTTTATTCACTTCACCTCTGAAATAAGACAGTGATTATTAATCATAATCATCAATCGTTTTTAGTGAACCGTAATATTTACTGAGATTTCTTTATGGACTTTTCGTTTCGAAAGTTGTAACATCAAAATAAAAAAAAAGGATTTCTTACAGAATTTACTATTATAATCTACTTAGCTTCTAACATAATTAAAAATTAAAAAATCAAGCACTAATTGGTCAATTTAAAAATATATACTTTATTCTAATTTTAAGACACTGTTGAGGACTCAAATACGACAGTTCCGAAAAAAAAAAATGTGTTGTACACCGAGAGAAATTTATAGGAATCTTTCCAAAAATTATGGGAATGGTTCCTATAATAAAATTATCATTATAGGCATTAATCCTATACTCATTATGGGAACCATACCCATAGTTTATTGGAAACGTTCCTATACAATAATGGAATAGCTTCAATATATTATGGGAATGGTTCCTATAATATTAAAGGAATGGTTCCTATAATATTATAGGAATGGTTCCTATAATATAAAAAAATATCAACTGATTAATTTCATAATGATAATAATAATAAATATAATTACTGGTAACTTTTTTTATCAATTTATATATTATACACGGAAAAGAAAATGCGGTAAATCCAACTACACTTGGAGTAGCATTTACCACAGGATGGACTAAAGTATATATACGCTATAGTGTGTTTACGGATGATTTTCATGTGTTTCTGTGACAACTCCAAGTGATGTTGGATTTACCGCACGTTTTTATGTATTATAAAAAAGAATCACTTAATCAAAAAAAAATAAATTCAGTTAAAAGTAATTAATTAAATTAATTAAAATACAGTTGTGTGAAAAAAAATTACTCCAATATTATCAGGCATCATTCCTATAATTATAAGAACCATTCCCATAATTATAGTAACATTTCCCAAAAATTATGGGTATAATTCCCATAATTTAAGTAATCGCTCCTAAAATGGTATAAGAAAATATTTCATTAAAATTATAGGAATGATTTCCACATTTTTCTCTCCGTGTAGAATTTCTTAAAAATCAATTCTTTGGCAATTATGCGCTTTGATAGAGCTTAGAGTAATTTAATCGACTTTTATTAATTTACTATCTATTTAACTTACTAATTGTTATTTTTCATTTCTAAGTGGCAGTGGGTAATTTTTTTATTTTTTAATAATTATCTAATATTAAGCCCGTTAATTTTAGTACTTAAGATGCATATCATAAACTTCCTTTTTGTTAATATCATAACATTAGAGACAAAAATTAGTTGTTTAGTCGAGTAAGAGTTAAGTCAGTCGACTATTTATAGAATCAACACTTACATCAATTACTTTTCTTACTTTAGCGTTTACATCATGTACTCAATTTAAATAGAGTAGATTACTACACAAATAAGTAAAGTGCTTAAGAAAAATATTGCTTAAATATTAGGTGAGCCATTGACAGCATTGTAATCAACTAAGAAATAAAAGAATCGAAAAAGCTAGTTGATGATTAATAGCTGATTTCTAAACGCTATACAGATAAAATAATTAACTTGATTTAAGAGAAAACATTTTGAATTAAGTGAAATTTACTTAAATCAAGAATAATTTATTTGTTCAAAAACTTTTCTACTTGATTGAAGACAATGAAATTCTTTAGAATATATTTTTGGTTCAAGATTTTTTTTTCTTTTCAATTGATATAATTTTTTTATCAGCGTGAAGATAATTAACTTTAGGAACTAACTAAACAGTGAGCTGATTTTTTTATAAATATTACCTGATATTTGTATTAACTTCATTAAGAATAAATGGTTTGATGCTATCGAAAATAAATGATCCCAGAGAATTCATAGCACCTTGAAACACTGATTCCAAGAACCCAAGATTCTTAAAATCCATGTCGATCTTTTCAAATGTTAAGTCCATATCAATATCTTGAGCACGAAGCTTTCCATTTGAAGCAACTTCAAGCTTTGCAACCCCTTGAACATCAACTCCGCTTAATTTAACAGTGAAATTCCCAGATGATTCTCCTAGCCACGATGAAAAAGAATTGCTGAGTGTGTACAACCCTCGAATATCAATATTTTCGATATTCAAAGCAACTAAAACCTGAAAAAAGTCATTCGAAAATTAATTTTAATTCATTTTAACTTCATTAAATCAGTGGCAAAAATTTTCTTCGTATTTGAGATATATGGATTGTTTGCATTAATACATGATATTATTTATGAGATAAAACTTACTTGCATTAAAGCTATTTCAGATTCTGCACGTATAATCCGAAATTTAGAGAGTCCATGGACTGTTACAGATTTCAAATTTATAGTAAGCATTGAAAATGAATGCTTTAAATCTGGTACAGTCATTGGATCAGGTATAGGAACATTTGGAAGTCCGATAGGATCTGGTTGTTGATAATGTTTGAGTATTAACCGGATCTGGTCACTCAATAGTTGTTCTCCGTGTGCCAATTTTGTCTCTTTATCATTTTCTATAAAAAGAATTCAATCAATTTGCTCATTAAATGAAACTTACAAAAAAATCTGGAAAGCGGGCGACTTAGGAGGCCATCTCTGAAAGTTCCGGATTTTTTTGAGCTTGGAACGCTCGAAAATCTTCCAATTGGTTGATTTTTTAGCTTTTCGAGCTCAAAAATCTGAGAATTGTTTCAGGTCAACATTTTTTGAGATTTTCAAACAGCAATATCTTTTGAATATTTAAAGCAGTTTTTTAAACTCAATTAGTATTTATTTCGTCTTAAGCCGATTGGTTAGAATTAAAAATATATTTGAAAAAAACAGAAAAAAATTTTTTTTACATCTAAACACACACACACACACACACACACACACACACACACACACACACACACACACACACACACACACGGTTGGACATCCAACTGAGAATAGTCAAAAAGGCTTTCAAAGACCTTAAAACGCAGAAAAAAAAATCTTGCATTCTCAAAATCAGACTGAAATCAATAATTTCCTACTTTTGAAAATTATTTATTTTCAACGAGGGAAATAAAAAATTAGATAAATATTAATTAAATTCCATACCATCAGTTATATTGTTACAGCTACAAAAACAGATTAAACTGATGAAAATAAGTATTTTAATTAACTCCATTTAATCGAATTAAAAAAATAAAAGTCTCTACAACCCACCAAAACTCATGAATTCTAATATGTATCTGAATTACCACGCCGTTTACAAAGAGTTCGATAATAAATAGATATTTTGCATATGAAACAGTGATGCGTAAGTTAATTAAACGAGATAAAGGTCATTGAAAACCAGGGTCATAAGCTTATCTTCTTTGCTTCATATTATCATCGAGGAAATGTTATGCATTTATCTTTAACTATGAAATTCGATTATCAAGTTTTTATTTCAAAATACTTTACTTACACGTGAATTAATATTGAAACATATCAACTCATTAATGTACGCACACATTTTCCATTCAAATTATTAGTTGGAATACTAAGAATCATTATGAGTCAAACTTCGTAGCTAATTGAGCAATATTAATAGTTGTCAATGTATTTTTAATTTCTTTTCAATTATTGTTAATTGATTTATAATTTTACTGTAAATCTTAATTAAATCTCGAAAAAAATTGGCTTCTGACTGAAAAAGAAAAATTATAACACTTTGCACCGAGTTGTCAATGTACACCGTAATCACTTTTGAAGTTATTAATTTCTAGAGTTGAAACTGCAAATTCATAAACGTATAATCATGTTATTTTTTAATCGTTAAAAATATTGTCAATTATTGATTATCATACGGCTACAATGAGATCTTCGTCAAAATAGACGGAGAATTTTTATCTAAACAAGAATAATTCCGTAAAAAATGAAAATAACTGACAATTTACAAATGGAAAATTTTGATTCACAACTCGTTATCTTTTAGTCATTTAAAATCATTGAGAAATTGTAATTTTTCCCATATAAACCCCACCTCCTTAAATTGCTACGAAAGAGAATTTTGTACTCTAGAAAAGCGATTATATATTAATTGTTGTTCTTGACAGAAAATTTGAAATTTTTAATCAATACAGTGTTTAAACCCTGATATCTTGAAAACTTATATGTCTAGATATCTTCAAAATTCATTATTCAAAAATTCATTGTTGAAAGAAGAAGATGTCAATCTTCTTTAAACGAGGTACAAAGGAGATTTTTTTATTATTAAGATTAATAATTAATTAAAAATAGAGGTAGGCCTAAAAGAGCTCAAAGACATACAAGAAGTCAAAGACCACAAGAAGACAATGGAATTATTATTTAGTGAGATCTTCAAGTTTGTTAAAACGGAGTTTTAACAAACTTGAAGATTTCGATTGACATCGATGCATGTTAGAGATAGCTCCTTAGATGACCACCGGTTATGGTAGTCTGTATCCTCTAAGAAAATAGGAAAGAAGTAGAAAAATCCTTTTTCACCAGGAAAGCAGGGAAGCTGAAGCTAAGGAAGCGAACGAAAATTCTCGAAAGTATTAACTAGCGTTATGAATTGTAATATAGAATAACTATAAAATTGCAATACCAAAGTGAAATAACAAGTTATAACATTAGTGTGAGAAAAGTAGATTTAAGCGAACATGTATCAGAGTTTGTTAGACAAGCTGTACACCTGGTGTCAATAAATAAAATAAATAAATAATTAATTAAAAAAAATAAGAAAATTGTGATAATTATGCAATGAACTAATTGCAAATTACTATGATTATATAGTTTTATATTTGAAATGAATAACGATTTAAGTTAATTCAAATTATGCTTTATGTATGTCAATAAATTACATTTATAATTACATGTTAATTATCCAATCCCTTGTTTAAATAAAAATCTGAATGATTTTAGTATTGATGATTTTATTTAACATTCGGTATTACAATAGATTTTTTCACAAAAAATTATGCAAAAAAAATTCCATTGATTATTTCTTTATAATCAACATATTTAATTTTCATACTTATCATAATAAATTGCTAAGTCAATTTTTTTTCCATCACCAAATAAAGATATTGCAAGAGGAAATTTATTTAGACATGATAAAGGGTAAATTCTGCTTGCTGTAAAAAACTGCTGAATATCAAGCTTTGGTAAATCAGAAGGTTATTATTACTTTTTATGTTATAAATTATAACATATAACTCATAACTCATAACATTACCATAATTTTTAAGAGAATGAACACCTGTTGATTCATTGAACACCAACTGGAGGGCATGATGATAAATTATTTTTATATTCATATTGATGTACAAGTAATGTTTTCGATGCTAAAATTAAAATCGGCTTTTTGTTAATCCAAAATTGATAATTTATGACAAAATTAAAAGTGTTGTAGAGTGATACACAGTTTTAAGTACTAAAAGAAACTGACATTTAACAATTTTTTATTTTTTACATAATTATAATTAAATACCGATTTCTAATTTTTTTTTTTAAATGAGTAAATTTTCAGGTATGTATTATTTAAGTATCATGATCGATAACAACAATTTAATAAGGAATTTACAGGGAATTCTTATTTGTTTGGGGGGAAAAAAAAAAGGTAGGTGTCGGTTAACTTTTAACTCACTGATGTGAATAATACTCAGACAACAAGAGGCAGAATATTTATTGCATTAAGTTTGTTAGAAATTTAGCTGATATATAAATATCGCTAATAAACAGGGTGTTATTTCATTTTATCGGGCGACTTCCAAAGAAAATATTGTGATTTAAAAATTTGTTTTGGCTTAGGAAGATCTTAATATCAGAAAATATTGTATGTTACACTGTATGGAAAAAGATTAGAAAATTTGAAAGAGCGCCGACTGCCGCAGCACTAAAAATAGCCGAAAACTGAAAACTGCGTCGCAGAGTTATTGAATAAGAGAGAATTAAACTATAGTTTTTTTATAAAAATAAATTATCAATTAATTCACAATCAATGAATCAATAAAAAAAATTAAAATGTCTGGAATTAGATCTGGAATTTTTTTTTTTTAATATTTTTATTATATGTAAAATTGGTTTTCTATATACACTTTAATAAATTTATTCATTAATTATTAATGATTAAATAAACTTCAATAACAGTTCTACTATCTTAAGGTAGTACCGGTTTTAGAATTGACGTTCAGAATTTAATGAAATTTGGCATATTGGTACTTTATAATATCATAATTAAAATTAAGCAGTAAAATTTTTAGAACCTGAGCAAATCCTGAAAAAAAGATATTAACATTTATAAATTTTTGCCTTTAACATTGACCCTTATGAGAAATCACAGACTTTATTTTATTTCACAAAACTGGACGTTGAGATTTCTATGATATTGGTATTAATAGAAAGAGAAAAATTTATTGAATATTGTGTGCAAATAAAACCATAAACATCAAGCTTATGATAATAGTAATTAATAAATAATTGAGAAAAAAGTACTAGTCAATTTAAATGTCGCAACGCCGCAGAGGGGTCATCTGAATGATCCGAACGGAAATGTAGCTAATGTAATAATTGTAAAGAAATTCAAAAAGTAACTTGCTCTCTAACAAGTTATATACATTTAATACTTCATACATAACACTTAATGTATGTCAAATAATAGTAAATTCTATATAATAAAATACACACATTAAAACATTTAGATATCATATTTATGAAAAAAATTAAACTGTAACCCATGAAACATTACAAAAGAACGACAATTGATCTGTCTTCTAAGTCTTCTAAGTCATAAGTAAGAAATTAGTTGTCGGTAAGGTAAATTTTTTTAGGTAACTGGCGGTGAAGGAAATTTAAATTATATAATCTAAATTCAAACACAACCTTTTTATTCTAAATAAAAATAATTATTCTTGAAAATATTTATTGTTTTTATTTATTAAAATATACAAATATTGATTACTAAAATAAAACAAAAAATCGCTTATTTAATGAGAAATTATTGATTTTTCTTTATAAAGTACTTTTTTTTTTTTTTAATTCTATAAAATAATAAAAACAAACTGTTCTTTAACTTGTTTCAGCTTAAACTATTATTTATTTATACACCTTCTCAACATTTATCAATAATTACGTTCTTGTCATATGAATATTATAAAACAAACAATAATTTTTTATATATATGTAATTAGAATAACATAAAAAGAAAAAATTATTTATTTAAATATAATTCGTTTAAACTTAGATTAAAGATAAAAAAATATAGGAATATCAGATATAATTAGAAAGTT